GACTGATCATGTAACACTACCTTGCCAACAGGGCAGGCTGATCATGAAACACTACCTTGCCAACAGGGCAGACTGATCATGAAACACTACCTTGCCAACAGGGCAGACTGATCATGAAACACTACCTTGCCAACAGGGCAGGCTGATCATGTAACACTACCTTGCCAACAGGGCAGGCTGATCATGTAACACTACCTTGCCAACAGGGCAGACTGATCATGTAACACTACCTTGCCGACAGGGCAGACTGATCATGAAACACTACCTTGCCAACAGGGCAGACTGATCATGAAACACTACCTTGCCAACAGGGCAGACTGATCATGTAACACTACCTTGCCAACAGGACAGACTGACCATGTAACAATACCTTGCCAACATGGCAGACTGATCATGTAACACTACCTTGCCAACAGGGCAGACTGATCATGTAACACTACCTTGCCAACAGGGCAGACTGATCATGAAACACTACCTTGCCAACAGGGCAGACTGATCATGAAACACTACCTTGCCAACAGGGCAGGCTTGATCATGAAACACTACCTTGCCAACAGGGCAGACTGATCATGTAACACTACCTTGCTGTCAGGGCAGACTGATCATGAAACACTACCTTGTCGTCAGGGCAGGCTGATCATGTAACACTACCTTGCCAACAGGGCTTCATTACGCTCAGCAATCCCGAGCAGTATAGAGTTAAATAGTCAAGATTCTAAAATCGCTTTGTTGACAGATGGCCTTTGTCACCCTTTGTATTAACAATCTCGGTAAACCAGGGGCACTGGGGCCATGTCCCGAATCCACGCGAGGTTCCCCAGGAAAGAGCCCACTTGAGAGAGATGGTTAACAAATCAATACTCATGCCAGCTTTATTGACCTAAAGAATTTGAATTTAATACAACAGACCGTAAAGTGCTATTATCGGCTTTTGAGGTGGTAAAGTTGTCGGTATAACCACACAATAAATCCACCACGGACATAGTGACTATTTTTTTTTCAGTTATCAATTACCTTAAACCACAAACAGGGGATTACCCTTATCATTATTCACAACTTGTTGATTGTGACGGGAACGCTGCGTTTTTCAATTGTAGTAACTGTGCTATGGCAACATCGATAGTCAAAATAACGTTTTTGTTCATGTTAGGGTTAAATGCCCCAGTCATTACGGGAGCTAGCTACCGTATCACCAGTACCCCATGGTTTCGATAATGTCACAGCGCCCTGTGGAAATTCTCTTCTTATGGGGGCGATGGGTAGTAGCTTAGTGGTTAAAGCATTGTTCGTCACGTCGAAGGGTCGGGTTCGATTTCTCAATAGCCAGGGTACAATGTCTGAACACCATTTCTGGTCCCTACCGTAATATTGTTGGAATACTGCTAAAACGGCGTAAAACCACACATTAACTTTACTAAAGATAAGCTTGTCAGTTAGAACTACCAGTTAGATCTTTTTTGTAGAAAAGAATAACGTTAAAATATAACAGGATAATGGCCTCGTTTGGGAGATTAAGCAGCGCTTGAAATGAGCTTTGTTTGTTTGTTTGTTTGTTTGTTGTTTAACGCCGCACTCAGCAATATTCCAGCTGTATGACAACGGTCTGTAAATAATCGAGTCTGGACCAGTCAATCCAGTGATTGACATCATCAGCATCGATCCACACATTTGGGATATGATGACATGCATCAACCACGTCAGCATGGGCATGAACGTACTCACGACCTTCTTCAATTGCATAATATTATGAGTAAATTCATATTCATTTAGCACGCGTTACCTTGGTTCGTATAGTCTTGATATTCCTGATACATACATACCTAAGCTAAAGAGTACATAAATTAATTGATCACTAAACGGTGTTTTCTTTCAAATACTAAATGTAGAATTACTGATCACTCAGGTGCTCTACACTGGGCATACGTATGTCGCTAAACATTACCACACAGGTATGTACTACTGAGAATGATGACTTTAGAAACTTACCAGCAGCACTTGTAAAACAAAGGAGTACCAGCAACAGGGGGGTGACGCCTTCCATTACCATCATGGACTGTTGAATATAGCCTGGGGTACAAGTCGACTACACAGTGTCTCCTCAGTCAGGTGTGCAGAACGCAGTGTGACGTGACTGGCAGCGCATTCATCAGTCGTGCAAGAGGCATAATGATACTTGGAAAACACACAAAGGTTATACAAATGTGTTTACATGGTTGACAAAAAAGAAAATGTCTGCGGTCTGTTAGGTATAATCAAATGTCCTCTTCAAAGGCGAAACCGGGATTTAGATATACATGTATACACATGCACAAAAGTTAAGCCCCACCATATTTATAGTCTCTTGATGTCACGTGTGGGAATCAGAAATACGAAATATGATGATGTATGACTGAATTAGGCTTTCATAGTTTCATGAACCCAAATTTGTCCAGATACCACAAGGAAAGCGTGCTTTACGTGTTGCTGTAGTTCCCCTACCCTATAAATAGTAGAATTCAAGTTTCAGACACGTGGTTGCATTTTGCTCCTGTGTGAGATTCCCCTTCCAATAGAGGTTGAAAATCAGCCATGGTGAGGAGAAAGTTAACGAACGCTGAAAGATGGCAAGTGATAGGCATGAAAAATGCTGGCATGTCATGCAGGGCCATTGCAAGACAAATGGGTCGTCATCACAGTGTTATCACTCGTTTGAGTGTCAAACATGGTCAAACCAATGATGTCAATGACAGGCATAGGTCTGGTAGGCCAAGAAAGACCTCTAACAGAGAGGATAGACGTCTTTTCAGGATAGTCAGACGAAATCCATTTGCCACTTCAACAGATTTAAGACTGCAGTGGATTACCCATCAGAGACTCTCGACGATGACCGTAAGGCGTCGCCTCAGAGCGGCTGGTTATAACGCCAGAAGACCAGTAAAACGTCCTCAACTGACTGAGAGGCACATGCGGAATCGTCTGATATGGTGTCGTGCCCGTAGTCGATGGAACTTGGCCAACTGGAGAAGGCTCCATTGGTCTGACGAGTGTCGAATGCTGCTACGAACTGTTGATGGTCGAATACGTGTTTGGAGGCAACGTACATGTAACACTCGTTTTGCACCAAGGAACATCCAGAAGACCTTAGCATTTGGCGGGGCGTCTGTCATGATATGGGGTTGTATTTCCTTCGGCTGCAAACTTCCGCTGGTGACAATTCGTGGAAACCTGAATGGCCAACAATACCAGGATGCCGTTCTTCGTCCAGTGGTAGTCCCTCATTTTTACAACCATCCTCTTCAGACAAGACCTGTTTACATGGACGACAATGCTAGACTACACAGATCTCGGGCAGTTTTGGCTTATATGCGTGAGGAAGCTATTGCCACTCTTCCTTGGCCGGCCTGTAGTCCGGATCTTAATCCGATTGAGCATCTCTGGGACATTCTTGGCCGGAAAATCAGACATCGTGATCCCCCAGTTCAAAATCTCGCTGGACTTGAAGCCGCACTTCATGAAGAATGGATTCGTTTGCCCCAGAGAAGCATGCGACGACTTGTAATGAGTATGAGGCGTAGGGTTGAAACTGTGGTCAATGTCCGTGGATCATACACTTTACTGACGTTTCTGTCTTGCAATAGACTCTGCACTCCCTAGGGTGTCTATGTGACACCTGATATGGTCTGCTGATATGACAGTTACTTGACAAAAAAAGTTTTTCAATGTTTTCTGATCCTTCAATTTCTGGTCTTCGGTAAAATTCCATTCTGCTCATATTCGTTTGGATCACAAGATAAACTTGCTTTGGGACAACTTTTGCATCACACGAGGTTTACATATACGGCTTATAACAATCGTAGATCTCGTTATAATAGTCATCATTAAGTGCCAAATGTAACAGCTCACAAATATGGTTGGTGGCGCTTAACTTTTGTGCATGTGTATATATAGAGGTTGTATTGCTATATGAAATAGCAAATTGTAAATTATTAAAATCGTATCCTGAGTGCTTTGGTGTGCAGGTGTACATATAGGTGTTCCTAAGGTTGACAACATGACAAAATATGTTCTGTCTATTGGTTTTAAGTGAGTGACATGCTTATCACTTAGTAATAGGAGTTTTTTTATGCCTGGCTGGTGTCTCTTATCTCGACAGGTAGTACCTTAACCTTGTACCAAATACAAAGACAAATGGCTTTATTCCAGATGAAGTAGTGTGATTTTTTTCATATGGACCCTTAAAGACTGTCATGTGGAAAGGGTACACTTTCATTCAAAGTTTTGTTAGGGTTGCATCTGCACACCGAAAGACTTTTATATCAATGGCCATTCTGCCACAGCTTTTCTTAACTCCGTGTGAAACGAGGAAAGCATTTGTATCCTGTGTAATTGACATAGAAGGCTTCGCACATCAACCCATTGGCGTTGCGTGGTGTTGTGTCTGTAATCCTTTTAGACCAACTTGAGCCCCCGAATCCGTGCTTTCTTAAGTGATTCATTCGCTGTAAACCTATGCTATCTCACCACGCGTCCCTCTGCCTCCTCCCCTCGAATAATTCGAGCAGACAGTGCAGTAATGGCGCTGTTTCGTTCTTTTGTCCTTCATTTTCCAAAAATTCTCCGGAAGTAAACGTCAAGCGCGTGATAGAGCCGTTCTATCGCTGTTTTCGAAAGAGTTCGAAAGGGGGGATAATATATCAGGGGGAGATAAGAACTTATTGGAAAGGATTATAATTGCGCTGTGTTGTAGAGAATCGAAAAACGTTCAAAGCGCCTATAAAATATACAATGCGATCGTGTTCTCCTTTCAAAGTAAAAAATGTATGTTTTGAAGCAGTGACCGAGAAAGTATGTATACGTCAATCACAGCGTATGGGCTTTCCCATTCACTCAGACAATATATGACGTGATGCTAAACTTAGAATACCATAACAAAGGGGCCTTTCGTCTATAACTACTGCCACCTCAACTGTCTATTATTAAAAAAGAAAATGCCAATCTATTTTTGTCAACACGTATGCTACCCGTCACCCAATACTAGTTAAGTAAGCCATTCAAAAGAGAGAGTTGCGTTAAACAGGTGAAAAACAGCCCTATTAACGGCCGGACATGCACCCACAGAGGAGGCTCACGTAAAGCTAGGCTGATACATGTTATACAGGTATTTATATACTTTCACGCAGCTATCCTATTCTGCCTTAGGATTATGACATAGTAGCCACTGTAGCACATATTACTGGTTGAGGGCCAAACTCAACAGGAGAAAGCCTTTAGTCCCGGCCAATCATCATAATCAACATAAAAGTTGTATCAAACTTGATAAACGTTGAAAGTAGATGCAGTATGAAACGTTTTCACAACTTGAGAAGAAAATGGATACACATCTTTTAAATACTCAGCATTATCCTTTTCTTGTTATTATGACGCTGATAATGTAATAAGTCATCTTTACTATTTCTACGTTCTGCTTGAATCTAGGTCCTCGTCTTGCTTCAAGAACGATGTTGAAAGTATTTACGGTGTTGTTGTGTGCCAGCACAGCTTTCTGCACAGCCGTCAACCACGACTACTTCCGGTGCCACATTGACCTCTGTAAACGAACAGAACAATACTGTGTGGAGGAGAGACAAAAATGTTACCACTGCGCAGACGTGGCTCATTTGTGTAATACCACGGAACTCTCGCGAGACTGTGACAGCTATTGCTACCGTAAGTACACACATTTATCAATGGATAACTTAAAACCCGTCACAGTCACGAATTCCACGGCATTATGTAAGGACATATCGTTGTGTTCCAAATGAATTACAAGTATGCGTGGATCGATGCTCATCTTATCAATCACTGGATTGTCTGGTTCAGACTCGATTATTTACAGACCGCCGTCATATAGCTGGAATATTGCTAAGTGGGGCGTCACAAAACAACAACAACAACAACAAAAATGATCGTTTTTAAATCGTTAGTAGATCGTTCGATTCCTTTCATAACGGCATTTTAAAAAGATCAATCTCTAGTTCTAACAACTTATTATGTACGACAGCTGTCTAACGAGAGGCAATTCGCTGTGAAGAGACGCCTCACTTAGTCGTGCCCTGTTTGTCAGCAACATGACTGCGAGTTCCATCACTTGAAGTGACAAACGTTTACACTTCACTTTCGCAACCCCATCCCCTACCCCCGTCCACACACAAATGATAAGCTTACCCGCCGTGATATAACTGACATAACGTTTAAAGCGAGGTAACACCCAACTCATTGCTAAACAGTTATAGTCTGTAATTCAATTATTACGAGGCATGTCAACCTTACAGATCCTCACCTGAGACCTGAACTAGACACTGTCTCCTGGAAATGTGCATCCACCCATGAAGCAAAGGTTCTCTTTAAATGTTAACGGTATTCCGGACATACAACTGTATGGTCTTATTGCAGGGGTTCAGCTACAGAATGTGATGGAACTTGAAGCCAATAGAAGCGCGCAGTTGGCAGACACGCAGATAGACCTTCAGCAGGAACAACAGAGAAACAACGACCTGGAACTTACAGTCAGACAGCTGGAGAGTAACGTCAGCAGACTTACAACAGTAAAGGAACACCTAGCTGTTAAAGTAACCGAAACTGAAAAACAGAAGACCGAATTTAAACGTGAGTTGGCATATTGCGATTAATTAGTATAAGTAATATTGGTATATATTATTCGTTTTATATTTCACTCTACTTAGATGAGATATTCTGGTCATCTGCGCCTGAGGAAATAACGTTTAACATCAATACTCGAGCCTATGGAAGCGTATTAGTGCCACAGTCTAAAAACGATTTACCATCAACGTAGATAATACTTTCGTCTCCGTAGATGATACCTTCATCTACGTAGATAATGCTTGCATCTACGTTAATGATACTTTCATCTACGTAGATGATACTTTAATCCCCGTAGATGATACTTTCATCTACGTAGATGATACTTTAATCCCCGTATATGATACTTTCATCTACGTAGATGATACTTTAATCCCCGTATATGATATTATAATCGTACGTATAATGTCGATTCCTCGAGAAAATATTGATACCTAGATGAAAGAATCATCTACGTAGATTTAAGTATCTATCATCTACGTGTCATCTACGTAGATGATATATTTGTTTAGACTGTGACACTAATACGCGTCTATACGAGTCTAACTGGTTAACCAAAGGTTCAAATCTCAATAACTCTCTATGATTACAACAATTGATTTGAACAATTCAAATTTCATTCAATTAAGCGTGGTTGCATCTACAGGTAAACAAGCATAATACATAATATGATATGGTATTATAAATTCTAAACGTACATCTTTGATGCACACGTTCTTGACATTCATCTGATACCTGCTTGTTACAGAGGTTGTGAAGCAACTGTGGCAGATGAAGATCAACTTCTTCATTGCATGCATAGTGGGCGTAGTTCTCATGTTCACCGTCATCCTTCTGGCTGGAGCTCTTTCTTGTCTCTATTGTCGGGGGAAACGCCATTCACACTCAGTCCGTTTATCTCAATCTGGTAGGACTTCTGACCTTGTTTGGAATTTTGTTTAATGAAATGATATTGAAAGTTTGATTTTAAAGAATATAAAAAATACTAATCTATAAATACCCAGAACTGATCTCTTGTCTGCATTTTTACTTAAAGAAATGTTTGCCACAGATGTGAATAATTGGCTTCTATTGTTGTTTCTAGTATAATTATTATAATAATATGCAGTCTCTGACATCCCATAACCTTTAACATCCACACAGAAAAAATGCATAAAAAAGAAAAATGTGGAACATCGTTTCCAAAACGTCTGAATGCACTCGGAACACATCAGTGACAAGGAAAACAATGCTTCAAATTATTTTACTTTATTTCAATCTAAAATGTAAATTCGAAGCAGGGGCTGTTTCTAGTCTACTTGTTATATATAATATTTTATTTATTTATTTTATTTTATATATATTTATTTAAAAAGAGGGTTTTATATGATTAGATAAAGACAAACGGGATAATGAGAACAAAATTATTTCGACATGAGCAGAGCCGAAGGTGTGTTATGAAACACGGAATATTCCAGAAGTAAAACATCATGCTCAGTGGGTCATAAAACGTGACTACAATAAAAAAGTATATATTTTAAATTTCATAAAAAACACCTACATATTGTGTCAAATCTTGTAAGCATGATGTGTAGCTGGACATGTGACTATATACAGACATGTGACTATATACAGACATGTGACTATATAAAGACATGTGACTATATACAGACATGTGACTATATAAAGACATGTGACTATATAAAGACATGTGACTATATACAGACATGTGACTATATACAGACATGTGACTATATAAAGACATGTGACTATATACAGACATGTGACTATATAAAGACATGTGACTATATACAGACATGTGACTATATACAGACATGTGACTATATACAGACATGTGACTATATAAAGACATGTGACTATATACAGACATGTGACTATATAAAGACATGTGACTATATACAGACATGTGACTATATACAGACATGTGACTATATACAGACATGTGACTATATACAGACATGTGACTATATAAAGACATGTGACTATATACAGACATGTGACTATATACAGACATGTGACTATATAAAGACATGTGACTATATACAGACATGTGACTATATACAGACATGTGACTATATAAAGACATGTGACTATATACAGACATGTGACTATATACAGACATGTGACTATATAAAGACATGTGACTATATAAAGACATGTGACTATATAAAGACATGTGACTATATACAGACATGTGACTATATACAGACATGTGACTATATAAAGACATGTGACTATATACAGACATGTGACTATATACAGACATGTGACTATATAAAGACATGTGACTATATACAGACATGTGACTATATAAAGACATGTGACTATATACAGACATGTGACTATATAAAGACATGTGACTATATACAGACATGTGACTATATACAGACATGTGACTATATACAGACATGTGACTATATAAAGACATGTGACTATATACAGACATGTGACTATATACAGACATGTGACTATATACAGACATGTGACTATATAAAGACATGTGACTATATAAAGACATGTGACTATATAAAGACATGTGACTATATACAGACATGTGACTATATACAGACATGTGACTATATAAAGACATGTGACTATATACAGACATGTGACTATATACAGACATGTGACTATATACAGACATGTGACTATATAAAGACATGTGACTATATAAAGACATGTGACTATATACAGACATGTGACTATATAAAGACATGTGACTATATACAGACATGTGACTATATACAGACATGTGACTATATAAAGACATGTGACTATATAAAGACATGTGACTATATAAAGACATGTGACTATATACAGACATGTGACTATATACAGACATGTGACTATATACAGACATGTGACTATATAAAGACATGTGACTATATAAAGACATGTGACTATATACAGACATGTGACTATATAAAGACATGTGACTATATACAGACATGTGACTATATAAAGACATGTGACTATATAAAGACATGTGACTATATAAAGACATGTGACTATATAAAGACATGTGACTATATACAGACATGTGACTATATACAGACATGTGACTATATACAGACATGTGACTATATAAAGACATGTGACTATATACAGACATGTGACTATATAAAGACATGTGACTATATACAGACATGTGACTATATACAGACATGTGACTATATACAGACATGTGACTATATACAGACATGTGACTATATAAAGACATGTGACTATATACAGACATGTGACTATATACAGACATGTGACTATATAAAGACATGTGACTATATACAGACATGTGACTATATACAGACATGTGACTATATAAAGACATGTGACTATATACAGACATGTGACTATATACAGACATGTGACTATATAAAGACATGTGACTATATAAAGACATGTGACTATATAAAGACATGTGACTATATACAGACATGTGACTATATACAGACATGTGACTATATAAAGACATGTGACTATATACAGACATGTGACTATATACAGACATGTGACTATATAAAGACATGTGACTATATACAGACATGTGACTATATAAAGACATGTGACTATATACAGACATGTGACTATATAAAGACATGTGACTATATACAGACATGTGACTATATACAGACATGTGACTATATACAGACATGTGACTATATAAAGACATGTGACTATATACAGACATGTGACTATATACAGACATGTGACTATATACAGACATGTGACTATATAAAGACATGTGACTATATAAAGACATGTGACTATATAAAGACATGTGACTATATACAGACATGTGACTATATACAGACATGTGACTATATAAAGACATGTGACTATATACAGACATGTGACTATATACAGACATGTGACTATATACAGACATGTGACTATATAAAGACATGTGACTATATAAAGACATGTGACTATATACAGACATGTGACTATATAAAGACATGTGACTATATACAGACATGTGACTATATACAGACATGTGACTATATAAAGACATGTGACTATATAAAGACATGTGACTATATAAAGACATGTGACTATATACAGACATGTGACTATATACAGACATGTGACTATATACAGACATGTGACTATATAAAGACATGTGACTATATAAAGACATGTGACTATATACAGACATGTGACTATATAAAGACATGTGACTATATACAGACATGTGACTATATAAAGACATGTGACTATATACAGACATGTGACTATATAAAGACATGTGACTATAGCTTGGACCGCCTCCGTAGTATAGTGGATAGAGCGTCTGCCTGGAGAGCAGAAGGTCGATACTCATGATGTCAATAACTGGATTGTCTGGTCCAGACACAGTATGTACAGACCGCCGTCATATAGCTGGAATATTGCTGCGTGTCGCGCCAGACCAAAAGACATAAAGACATGGTACTTGTTGTTATACTGCCTGGCGCTCGGCATTAAGGGGCTAAAACAAGGGCTGGAGGGCTCGGAATTAGTATAATGTGTCTGAGTCGGGTATGCATGTTAAACTGTGGCACAAGCAGCCACACACAAAGGGACACATAGTCACACACACACACACACACACACACACACACACACACACACACACACACACACACACACACACACACACACACACACACACACACACACGATCATGCACGTCGTCACGAAGTGCCAAAATTATACGTTTTTCACCTCCCATACATGTACACATAAAAATAACATGTCCTCATATTTACAGAGGAATGTCCAGGTGTTAGCAGTTCCGATCAACTCCCTCTGTTGAACAGATGCACAAACTTCCCCACAGCCTCTCCTGGTCTTACCATCAATGGTGATGTCACTGTTTCAAGACTAGAGGTTCAGTCTCCTGATGACAAAAACATCATCAGCGACATGAACAGCACTCTACCACCGGCATACCAATCCCGCCTGGAAGAGAAGAAAAACAGTACGGACATAATTGTCCCAGATCCCTGCGAGAAATACGATATCAATAAATGTGAAACTGAAAGAACACCCTCAGTTCTGAAAAATATTCAACCCACAGATAGCTATGAAAGTATCAAAGACACTGAGCCAAAGAATATTCAGATCATCGATAGCACTGATCCTAAATGAGGGCATTTGTATTCTGTATCAGAGGTCTTAGAGTGTTTCTTGAAATTGTGAATTTGTTAACACCATGGGGATGTCATTGCCAATTGTTTGAAGGTGAGAGAGATGAGAGATTTACACTGAGGATGTTTGATTATTGAACAGACATTTCTTGAGTTTGGATTAATGGTGCTTTGAACACAATGTCCACCATACCGCGTCAAATGTGGGTAGAAAGTCAATAGTTAAGCCGTTCTTGGACGTGTTCCGTTGAAAAGTAGGACGAACACGGGCATGATGCCGAGAGACCTTTGAGAGCTCTTGGGTTAACAGTGTTTCAGATATTTACGATGTTTCAGATTATTGTGAGAGGACGAAGACCACTTTGGTCGAACCCGTGAGCACGGGTATGGTACCAACAAACCAGGCACCAAATCTTGGTGAATCTGGGATTCGTACCCCAACAACGCCGGTACCTCGTAGGTGCAAACACAAAATACGGTGTACTCATGTTGGCCTGGTCTTTTGTGCGCCGAGTGATTCATTTATTTATGTATTTTCTTGTACCGTGGCTATTATTTGTGAAAAATAATGGCAACCAATTCCATATCTTTTGTATGAATATATAAATGGGAATGTGTGTATGCTATTTATGATATAATGTACATGTACATATGTAGCAATTGTTTTATATTTGTATGTTTATTTGTTGTGATTTCCGGAGCCAAAGTAACAATTTGCGGATATTTGGATTTTCAATGTCAATTAGAAGATGTCATGATGCTTATCACAGTGTTTTGATTGTGTCGAGGTGACCCATTCCGTACAATCATGCAAAATCTTATATATCTTATATAAAATATAACTATGTACGACTACACACACGAACTTGGGCACTTGACCAATCAGAGACCTGCATGGGGTGTGATGCACAATGCCGTACGTTCCTGCAGTGCTTGTGACGTTCGTGTTCATCTTCTTCATCTCCTCTGCACCTTCTGGAACCTGTGGCTATTGTTACTTTCGTTATCACCCAATAGCTTGTCGATAATCCCTTAAATCCAGCAACACGTTGTTGCCTTGGACAGTCATTTCCTATGGGTCTCGGACAATTGTCACCCGGACAGTTGCCGCCCAGACAATTGCCACCGGACAATTGCCACCTAGTGAATTTTCTACAACCAGTTGGACTATTCCCACCCAAATATATTTTTTTTATTAAATGGAAGGTCTTGCTGATGTTCACAGTGAGATGAACAACCACATGTTCTTGAAAGTAAGATGTAAACAGTTTTCATGTTTTCTTTGTAAAACCTTTGTGTTTTGTTCGTTACATATTACTTGGTACTGTTTTCTTCTGTGCTTATCAGTTTAATAATGCTCAGTCATTATAATAATAGTTAGATTAACGCCGCTTCCACGTTATGCTTCGACTCAAGGCTTCTGCATTTTTTGGAAAATAAAATGATAAAAATAGGTTCTTGGCTCTATGTAATATTGTTTCTAGACATAAACTATTGTTCTTGTGAAAAGAAGAGCCGATCCATTTTTTATACATCTGATTCAGGACAACCGTATTTTCTATAAGAAAACCTTTTTGCGACAAAGGTCCAAGACTGATTGACTCTTTAACTTCGACCATAAATATTTAGTTCACAAAGGAGAACCAGACGCTAAAATTGAATAACATCCAATATTATCACTAACATCCAATATTATATATTACGGATCTCATCTGCAATGTAAGTACAGGTTCGAGGGGAAATACAGCAGTGGAACATTAGTGACGTCGTATGAGCCGTATGATGACTTTCGTCATACGATGGTGATCTGTAAGATGAGTGACGTCATACGATGGTGATCTGTAAGATGAGTGACGTCATACGATGGTGAGCTGTTTCATGAGTGACGTCATATGATGGTGATCTGTAAGATGAGTGCGTCATATGATGGTGATCTGTAAGATGAGTGACGTCATATGATGGTGATCTGTAAGATGAGTGACGTCATATGATGGTGATCTGTATCATGAGTGACGTCATATGATGGTGATCTGTATGACGAGTGACGTCATATGATAGTGATCTGTATGATGACTTTCGTCATACGATGGTGATCTGTAAGATGAGTGCCGTCATATGATGGCGATCTGTATGACGAGTGACGTCATATGATAGTGATCTGTAGGATGACTTTCGTCATACGATGGTGATCTGTAAGATGAGTGACGTCATATGATGGCGATCTGTATGACGAGTGACGTCATATGATAGTGATCTGTAGGATGACTTTCGTCATACGATGGTGATCTGTAAGGTGAGTGACGTCATATGATGGTGATCTGTATCATGAGTGATGTCATATGATGTTATCTGTATGATGACTAACGTCATATGACGAAGACCTGTATGATCATTATCATATATTTTATCTGTATGTGCAAGTTGGAAATAATAAAACGCTGACGCCAAGGAATACTCAATTATCCTCCGAAAAAGACCCCCTTGGGTCTAAAAGGCAAAATAGGGGTGAAAATTATATGAATTGAATACTGAAAATCCGTGGTGACATGAATGGTAAGCATGTCCTGACCCAGTGGGAGCATGATTTTTATAAAAGGTAAGTGTTTTTGTTGCCCACGCCGTAAACAATCGCGTCAGGACCAGACAGTCAAAAATAGAACCAGACAATCGAGTGACACGGTCACACATGTAGTGAACTTGTTGAACCTAAAATCGATATGTTAACTTTGAATTCCGTCTCCAGTGAACAAGTGCAGCAATTCAGCTGCTTATACGTAAAGAAAATGTTTAAAAAATTGTTTGAACTTTTGAAAGTTATCGTGAAAGCTGATCAAGGGTTTATAAATCTAATATTTACAGAAGGCTAATTTGTACTTTGTAAATTTAACATATTTTGTCAATGTTACCTATCCTGTAGATGCTCCATATACTAGCATGGGGAATTTACTGTAACTGTATACAAGTTGAAGCAATTATACATGTATTAATGTAAATGTCAAAGGTCACACGTGTATGTATTTTGACATATTTGGAATGGCAATAATCAGTAATGCCTTAATTTGCGAATGAAATTATCTTGTGATATTATTTACAAATAATATATCTGTAACCTACTTACACTTCACTTAAAAGTCCAAATTGTGTCACATACGCACGAGACTCAACATGAATTCTAAATATAGCTGGGAAAACCAGTGACGTCACCAGGCTGAGTTGTGAATATCGTTCATGTCAATACTAAAGCCGATCCTCGTGCTTTTACGGGATAAAATAATTAGAACCTTTATTATCAGCTCTGATTAAACTATCGATTAGATTACTGAAGAGCTATATAAAATGGTAAACCACTGTTTTCGCTGGAACAGCTATTAATACATCCTTAGTTATTGCACACATGTTCGTTAGCTGGCAGCATTTAGGTTTAGGCATTTCTATATTTAGAGACATACAAAATATCCACGATTTGCCTTCAGTGAAATATAAAATAGAAGGGCGGTATTCCACAGTTCAGTTTGTGTCTTTGGGTGGACTTTGCTACCAGGTTAGTTTAAGCATCATATCTCAGTGTGCAGACAATATATCTTTTCTGTTTGTTCAGGTAGTTTAGAATTAGTAGGATGCACGGGTAGCCCAGTCGTCTAAGGCGCCGTAATTCGCTTTGCAGAGTTTCGTCCCTTGGACAAGCCTGAAACCTATGATTGTGGGTTCGAATCTCGGTTCGCCCCAATTATGTTTCTAGGTTTGTCAGCACCATACCAGTGCACGTGGTTTCAACAAAGTAGTAAAACGTTTAGGACCTGCATCACTTTGGGCTTGGCGCTCATACTTATCTGTGATACAACTGAAATTCTGCTCCAGGCATGGTGCACCAAACTCATCTAATCCCTCGGATTATGTATGATGCAATAATATGCTTTCGGGTATTGGCATGCATTTAAATAATGTGTTTGCAACAGCAAGGAATACGAAGGAGTCTGAAGCAACGGTTATACTTTCATGTTCATCAACTCTCACAGTACAAAGGAGTGCATAATTGAGCAATGGGTTAGTTAAAAATTCAACGTTATAACATTTATATGATCTACTATTTGACAATGTAGCGTCATGGACACGTTAGTTACATTACAGTGAAAACTCGTTTTTCCGGACAACGTCAATACGGACTACAATCGTCTGGACGACTACTGTTTGAAACTTTGACATGTTTACAAAGTTGTCATTACTTAATCCGGAAACTTTGTAATCAGAACAATTGCAGTGGGAAGGTGACCGTCCAGATTAACGGGGGCAGCTGTACACAGAAACTACTTAGTAAACGTTTCATTGTAAAATTTAGGATCTTGTTTTCAATATAGAGATTTCGCATCATGTCTATGGTTATTGATTATAGAGACAATGTTGACCAAGGCTACAGTTATCTGGGCCATCATAACCCTAGACGTGGGTGCTGCTGTCGACACCGACTACTTCAAGTGTCACCGGGACCTCTGTCGTCGTGGAGAACAGTACTGTGTGGAGGAGAGGCAAAGATGTTACCACTGCGCTGACGTAGCTCACCTGTGTAATACGTCCGAGATCTCGCGAGAATGCGACAGTTATTGCAACCGTAAGTACTGACATAATTATCGTCATTGTTTCTGTAGATTTGCTAGGAAAATTCTAACTGCAGATGCTTTCATAATGTTTAAGTTACAAGTATCGATGAGTGTGATCATGAGGACTTTGGGATTAAATACTTAGTCAGTTAAATATTCAAATCATATTTTACATATGTCTTACAGTTTTGATTGGCGAAAATTATTTATCAAGAACATATATTTGTTTCACAAGGAGTTACACTGGAAGAAATGACAAAGAAGAAAGACAAGACGTTTTCCGAAATGACAGACGTAAAAACAAAACTACACAGTGAACAAAATACAACAACAAAGATGAAGATGAGGATCACAAAGTTGAACACGATGCTGTCCCAGCTGAATGAATCACGGAATGCCTTGTTGGTTGACAACAGGGAATATAAAAGACGCACAACTGAGCATGAAGGTAAGGTATCTTTTTCACAATATTCTAACCATTTTACTTTTTGTATGTATTAATGCAAATAATACAAATAGTTATATTCTATGGGTCGGTATCGTAGCCGTGGGGATAAAGTGAGTAAGTGAGTATTGTTTTACGCCGCTTTTAGCAATATTCCAGCAATATCACGGCGGGGGAAACTAGAAATGGGCTTCACACATTGTACCCACGTCGGGAATCGAACCCGGGTCTTCGGCGTGACGAGCGAATGCTTTAACGCTAGGCTACCTGACCGCCCATTGGGGATAAAGCATTCAACACACTGAATATATATATATGGGTTTGTTTGTGTCACTGTGTTCTACTGCAGTATAGTTTCAATCACTCTGAGATAATTCTCGCTCGAATGGGTTTCATTTAACCTGCAGACTGAACACTAAGTGCCATCGTTCTCGGATAACGTCATCATGGTGACGTTTGTACAGCATTGTGTTAGCAGCGTTGTGACATTGCTGAAGAAATTTGGTTTGTTTAGTTTGTTTATCACCGCACTAAGCAATATTCCAAAAATATGACGTCCCTTGTGGTATAGACAATTTATTGATTGATATTACGAGCAACGTCCCAACGTTGATACACAATCAACCAATTCAGTAAGCCAGACCAACATTGTATTAACGTTATATCGATGTGGCAACGGTTGTACAATATCGCCACAAGGTTTCATGTTTGCAACATTATGACAACGTTTAGGAACGTTATATGGTTACAGGGTCGCTTTTACAACGCCAGTCTTGTGGTAGCAGCGTTGTGACAACGTTTAAGGAAGACTATTTCGTTGTGAAACAGACTTTACAACATCGTGACAACGATTTATGTTTGCAACCTTGTAACAACGTTTAAGTAACACTAAATCGATGATGAACCACGTAAAACGACATTGTCACCAGGTTTGATGTTTGATGGGTTGTGAATACGTTTAAGGAACGTTACATAATCGTTACAACGTTTCATGTTTGCAGCGTTGTGACAACGTTAAATGACGGTATACCATTATGAAAACCTTTTCGCAACATTGCCAGAATATTTTGTACTTGACCATAATGAATCATTGTGATAACGCAGCTGTGGCGTTCATGGACTACTATGTATTGTGATAATGATTGGATGACATGCAGAGAAAAATTTATGGAATGTTACAGATGTTGTCAAGCAGAATGAACGGTTGAGGGCCACCCTCATCGGCGTGTGTACAGCGTCTGGTGTGTTGGGGGTAGTGGTGATCATCCTCACTGGGATCCTTTGCTCACAAAAGCAGGATAAAAGCAAATCTCCACACACACCTGGTAGGTAGAACTTGATTTACTGAACAGTTGCAGAATCATGAACGTAATAATATTTCAGAAATTATTGTCCATTGACAATTTGACACTTTCAGCAGCAAAGCTAAGTTTGGATTAATTTGCAAACAGAGAAAAGGGTTTTCTAGTTTATTGGGAAGCATTTGAGCTTACCTACCATCCGAAATACCACATTTCCTCTATTTACCACCGGGCCAATATTTACCGGGCCTTTTTTTAACTACCTGGCCTAAATTGACTGCCGGGTCTCCATTCATCACCGTGCTCCTGTACGCCTCCGGGTACCTATTAACCACCCTGTCTCATTTCGCCCAAGCAACCTCCATGTATCACCTGGTATTGGGGGTTTAAAAAGAATATGCGCCCAGGATAGAGGAAAAAAGATGCATTGTTTTGAAAGAAACATTGTCAGTGTTCAGTGATAATCCAATATTATCTTCGAAAAAACACCCATTTGACAAAAAACAAAACATGCTAGCATACGATACATGAATGGAACTATAAGTAGCATAGTATTTACTAATTGAAGTAAGGTTGAAATGAAGGTAGGGTGTATATTTGAAAAGACATATACGTGAAGAAATATCAACAGGACAAAATAATATAATGTAATGTGTAATTCCAAATTTCGATATTCACAGCGCCAGAGAAGGAGAAACTGATCTTATACCAACTGCCCGATCAACTTCCTGCCCTGCTTCCAGGTGTAGGAGATTATGTGACGATAGACACGAAGTCTCACACAGTCGGTCCTGACGGTGCCATCATCTCCCATGCATCGAGTCCGAAGATGCAGTTTTCCTGCATCAGCGACATGAACTGCAACAACGGCAGTGCACCACCGGCATATAAGACATAAATCGAGTTTGATCAAATACACAACAGGCCATACAGTCTCTTAAAGTATGGCATTATCATCGCACTATACGTCAATGCATCTTAAACCGGAACCAGCGCAGTACGTCAGCTAAGTCAGGCTGTGGGCCGTTACAGAAGCCCATCCGCACTTCTCGAGAATAGGCATTGTGTTCACTGCAGCTATAAAGTGAAGATGCTGAAGGTGCCATCATCTCCCGTGCATCGAGACCGAAGATAGTCTTCCTGCATCAACGACATGAACTGCAACAACGGCAGTGCACCCCCGGCATATAAGACATAAATCGAGTTTGATGAAATACACATCTATACTCCAGATGTATCCAAAAACATCTTTGCACTAATCAAACAAAAGTTCGTCGCCACAGATATGAAGACTTGATCAACTGACCGATGGAATAACCGGGGACAACGTAGCGGAAATAAACTGAGGCCATACAGTCTCTTAAAGTATGGCATTATTATCGCACTATACGTCACTACACCATAAACCGGAATCAGCGCAGTACGTCAGCTAAGTCACGCTGTGGGCCGTTTCAGACGCCCACCCGCACTTCTCGAGAATAGGCATTGTGTTTACTGCAGCTATAAAGTGAAGATGAAGTTGAATTTTCATTCCACTCTGATATAAGAAAATACTCATGAAAGGAGTCTACCTTTCTGGAACCGTTATTTCGACAGGTCCTAAAAGTCGACACGTTGGTATTTCTGATGCAGTGCGAACCTCCACATTAATCTATGGCCGCTGTTGTGTCTGCCTTGTTTAACGCAGAAATAATGCAACTTTCACGTACATATATCTACTATCTAATGTATAAATGGGTTATAATGTAAATGGCTGTCTGGGAGCGTTGTGTGTCTCGTGTGCTATATCTTGCATAATTATATTATGTGAATTTGGTTGTTATGTGTGCTGTATGCTATATTGTATTGCTGTACATCACTTTCTTCACAACGGTGTTAGTATCTACACCGAACACTTTATTGTAATAAAGAATCCATATAACTTCCTTGTTTATATTGTATATAGCCAGCTACCTTCGCAGGTTGCTGTGATTGGCTATGGCTGCAGTATGCTATAGTATGCTGTGTCTCTGTGTTAAGCAGGCCATATAATGCATAAATGGTTGTGTGTGCAGTATTGTAATTTTGTTGTAATAAGTTATGTGAAATATGTTAAATTGTGTACAACTGACAGTGTACAGAATGTTATATTTTGTATGGTTGGATATGTGTATAATGCTATATTCTGTAAACTGAGCTGTATGCTATATTCTGTACAACCGTCTGTGGGCTGTATGCAATATTCTGTGCAACTAGCTGTGTGCTGTATGCAATATTCTGTACAACTGACTGTGACCTGTGTGCAATATCATGTACAACAAGCTGTGAGCTGTATGCTATATTCTGTGTTACTAGCTGTGTGTTGTATGCTATATTCTGTACAACTGCCTGTTAGCCGTATGCAATATTCTGTACAACTGACTGTGACCTGTATGAAATATTATGTGCAAGTAGCTGTGTGATGTTTGCTATATTCTGTGCAACAAGCTGTGTGTTGTATGTTATATTCTGTACAACTGACTGTGACCTGTATGCAATAATATGTACAACTGTCTGTGAGCTGTATGGAATATTCTGTACAACTGTCTGTGAGCTGTATGCTATATTCTGTGCAACAAGCTGTGTGTTGTAAGTTATATTCTGTACAACTGACTGTGACCTGTATGCAATAATATGTACAACTGTCTGTGAGCTGAAGGCAATATTGTGTACAACTAACTGTGAGCTGTATGCTATATTCTGTGCAACTAGTTGTGAGCTGTTTGCTATATTCTGTGCAACTAGCTGTGTGCTGTATGCTATATTCTGTACAACTGACTGTAAGCCGTATGCAATATTCTGTACAACTGACTGTGACCTGTATGCAATATTCTGTGCAACTAGCTGTGTGCTGTATGCAATATTCTGTACAACTGACTGTGACCTGTATGCAATATTCTGTACAACCGACTGTGACCTATATCCAATATTATGTACAACTGACTGTGACCTGTATGCAATAATATGTACAACTGTCTGTGAGCTGAAGGCAATATTGTGTACAACTAACTGTGAGCTGTATGCTATATTCTGTGCAACTAGTTGTGAGCTGTTTGCTATATTCTGTGCAACTAGCTGTGTGCTGTATGCTATATTCTGTACAGCTGACTGTAAGCCGTATGCAATATTCTGTACAACTGACTGTGACCTGTATGCAATATTCTGTGCAACTAGCTGTGTGCTGTATGCAATATTCTGTACAACTGACTGTGACCTGTATGCAATATTCTGTACAACCGACTGTGACCTATATCCAATATTATGTACAACTGACTGTGACCTGTATGCAATATTGTGTACAAATATCTGTGACCTGTATGCAATATTCTGTACAACTAACTGTGAGCTGTATGCTATATTCTGTGCAACTAGCTGTGTGTTTTATGCTGTATTCTGTACAACTGACTGTGAAATTATGCTATATTATCTACAACTGACCGTGAGCTGTATGCTATATTATCTACAACTGACTGTGAGCTGTATGTTACATGTTGTATAGTGTGTTATATTGACTGTATGCTGTATGCTATACTTTGAGTACCATTGGATGTGCGCGTTATGTTTATATACTATATCATTAGGTGTGTGTGTATAATATGTATAACTGGTGTATGGTACAGTTTGTTTGCCTGGACCGTATGAAGTACTTTATATACAACTGATGGTGTGCATATTGTGTTACAAGATGTACAATTTGCTGTGTGTGCAGAATGGTATGCAGTGGGCTAGTTTTATGGGTACTCTACTGATTAACATATATTTTATAATTTAATGATTTAGTGTCTCATGGGCCTGAAGTTCGGATGCATTTTGACTGTGTACAGCAATATATGACATGTGAATTCGATAATCATCTTCTATCAAATGGTCGGCGGAAGCTGACGATAATGATTAAGACGATGATGTATGCATACATGTCGTATATTGTACTTTAAATGGCTTGTGTTGTATTTGTCACGAACACCTGGTATCATCACAGTTTGATACGATTCGTTCAAACATGTCTACAACCATGATCGGAATTGTACAACAGCCTCTTGGATATTTCTGGGGCACGGGTGGCCCAGTCGTCTAAGGCGCTGCGATTCGCTGTGCAGAGTTGTGTCCCTTGGGCACGCCAGAAACCTATGATTGTGGGTTCGAATCCCTGGTTCGCCCCGATTATGTTTCTAGGTTTGTCAGCACCACACTCGTGCTCGTGGGTTTCACCGAAGTGGTAAACGTCTGAGACCTGCATCACTTCGGGCTTTCCTCCCACATTAAGCTGACACGCCGTGATATAACTGGAATACTGTTATAAGCGGCGTTAAACTCAACTCACTCACTCACTCATTTGGATATTTCTCCTCCAGCGTTAATGTTTAATATAGACTGTGAGTGAGGAAAGGTTTTGTCGTAATATTTGCATTATTATTCATTTGTTTCGAACACTGTCGTACAGTGATTGTGATACTTTAAGGATAGCGCACAGCTAACTGGATATTTGTTACAAATAATGTACAAAGCATGAAGCCGGCAAAAGTTGGAAGTTAAATTAATCAATACATAAATGATACAACTAAAACATGCTGCATGGGAATGTCATTCAGTATATTCGTAATACCTGAGAATATTTAACTTCGTGCTTCAAAATCCGTGTTGCATTTGAAGTATCCCGTGTGTTCGTTCTGTACGTGTATTTTGTACGATTTGATCGTTGTAGCCGTAATATTCGCAATGCACGTGCTTAGAACTTCTGCATGAGATTTAGGGAGATAGCTGATCTGATGAAGTTTATATCATACTTTCATGTTGTATGTGTATGTAGAGAAGTGTTAGAACTAGTACTGTAAGTCCAGAGTGTTTATTCTTCTTGATAAATTATTTCTTCCTTAAAGATGAGACATTCGACTCTTTTTTTTAACCATTGAAACCACGTTAGCTCGACTTTCTAAACTCTAAAACTAACTATAACTATAAAGTTATGATCTTAGCACAGTCGTTATTGACATCCTGGCCCTACAGCGGCACTACCGACATATCTCCAAATATTATATTTCATTATGTATTTTTGACGGGTTTATAGTGCTAGCTATTGCCCATTGAGATACCATGCAGCAGCTTAACCCAATCATGCACAGTATACCTCAAATCCGAGCCGGCCAGTCCTTATCTTATCCCTTTAATGCCGAGCGCCAAGCAGGGTAACAACAAGAACCAATCTTTTAACGTTTTTTTGGTAGGGCGCGGCCGGGGGTCGAACCGTGCCCTATCAATTAAGGTTGCAGTCCATAAACTCGAACTTCATTAAGTCGCTATATAATTATTAAAGACACTATTGTGACTCGAAAAATGGATACCTTGGAAATGAATGGTTTAAAGGTATTTTATTCAATGATGAAATAATGAGTTATCACAAATTAGTAGGCCCTCTTCGAAATATTTAAAAAAAGTATATAACGATTTGGAAAATGGTTTATAATCAGCAAAAGCTTAAATGTTATTGTTTGACAATGACTAAGCAACATGGTGTTGGTACAGTTCCATTTAAAAGGGACGTATGCTAGTATTACCGCTGCATTGTATGTCCTCTGTTTCAAGAGCTATGTCAGAACCCCTCAGGACGATCTAGTGTGTCAGTATAAAATACAACTAGACTATGAATGTCAATTGTAATCACGTCCGGTGTCACCGTGACCTCTGTCGGCAGGGAGTTCAGGGCTCCGAGGAGGAATGGCACAGGTGTGCATACCTGATTCCCACCATAGAAATGAACCCGCGAAGCTCCGGGGTAGAATAGGTCTTCGGCAGCCAATTGGTTAGTTAAAAGGCGACTATGCTTGTGGTAAGAGGCGACTAACGGGGTCGGGTGATCAGGCTCGCTGATTTAGTTGACGGAAGTCATCGTATCCCAATTGCGTGGATCGATGCTCAAAAAGTCAATCACTGGATTGTCTGGTGGAGACTCGATTATTTACAGACCGCCGTCATATACCTGGAATATTGCTGAGCGCGGCGTTAAACAACAAACAAACAAAGGAACCTACGATCATCAGAAACTGCATTGTGAATTACAACCTGTTTCCCTGGGTATGCTGCTTATAATGTCAATCATTTGATTGTCTGGTCCAGACTCGATTATTTACAGACCGCCGTCATATAGCTGGAATATTGCTGAGTGCGGTGTTAAACAACAAACCAACCAACCAACCATACCCAGGGAACCAGGCTGTGTGAATTATTGCTCTTTAGACTTTTACTTAGTTTTAAGAACCTTTAGCCATCAGGAAAATGACGATGTAGTTTTTAAGCAGCGGCACCAGGGGCAGGTATACAAAGTTTCCTCCAGAAACTTACGGGCTGATCATCAAAGGCGATGTGATTACTTGCAGAAAAGGAAGTGAGGTGAGTTGTAATGGGTTTCTACATCTGATAAAAGATTATTGCATGTATATAGCGACGATATATATGTGGCTCCTTGTACTACTTCAGAATACAGCTAACCCACTGATATACCATGCCGCAGCTTAAACCTGGATATCCCACACAGTATATCGACTCCGAACCGACCAGTCCTTGTTTTATCCCCTAAATGACGAGCCCCTAGGCAAGTAAACAATTATAAGAAACACCCTTTAACGTATTGTGGTACGACGCGACCCCGACCTCCAGGCAGACGCTCTATTTACTATAACACGGACGCGGTATATGAAGCCAAGAGGTAGTCAACAGTAACAAGCATATTGCTATCGATATACATAGAGACATGTCTCACTTGTGTAAGTGTGTTGGCAATGCTGGCATTATCTGTGATACATTTCTATTTTTAGACACACCCATCCTTTTTCAATGTCTATGTTTAATGCCACGTGGGCGAGGAAATATATACATTGTGCGGATTTGAACGATATCCGGATATTGTGTCATTGTAAGATACGAGTCCCTTTCGGGTAAGTTGTTCATATTCTTTCTTGTAATTAATGTTACAGTTTTTAAAATGATATCAATGTTGATCACATTTTGAGAAGTAATGACATTTCAGTGACACGACCAATGGTACTGCCGTGTGCCACTGTACTCTTTGATGCGGCGTCAGGCATATGACAAACTCGTGAGAGTGGCGGGTGCTACCGTAAGGTCCAGACTGACTATTGCCGGGCGTTGACATTTTGCATGTACTTGTTTGTTTGTTTGTTTGTTGTTAAACGCCGCACTCAGCAATATTCCAGCTATATGACGGAATATATCAAGTCTGGACCAGATAATCCAGTGATTGACATCATGACCAACGATCCACGAAATTGGGATACAATGACATGCATCAACCAAGTCAGCAAAATCTGACCTTCCGATCCCGTTAGTCGCCTCTTACCACAAGCATAGGCGCGACTATGGGATGCTGAAGACCTATTCTACCCCGGATCTTCACGGGTCGCATGCACTTATGTGATGACTATGAGTGATACTTCATATTTACATGAAATTGTCTTGTAATACAGATAAAACTGATCCACTTGACCTCCAAAGTATCAATAGATCGTTTCAATAGATGTAACTTCTTGGTGGATGTCGCATCCTGCTACAGATTAGGTTATTCATATCAGATATATGTAATTATCGAAGGTACATGTTTTGGTTTCAGATAAAATGTTGAGAAAGTGTGCCGCCCTCTTGGTTTTTATTGCCGTACACGTCACTGCTGCTCTAGATCAAAACATGTTTCCGTGTCACCGTGACCTCTGCCGGCGTGGGGAACAGTACTGCGTGGACGATACTCAGAAATGTTATCACTGCGCAGATGTGGTACACCTGTGTAATACCACAGAACTCTCGCGAGACTGCGATGGCTACTGTTATCGTATGTACTCCAATCATTCATCTTACAACCATTTCCTGTCAACATCAGAAATATAGTAATAGTCATATTGATGACTGACGTAGTTCACCATGCTGGTTTAATGGTTCGCTTCTATTTCGGATCCATTCTTTATTTTTTTTCTTATTTACATGGAACTACACAAATTTACAACCATACATGTAATACCTATTTGTACGGCGGTAAAGCCCGTTTGATGAAGTGTTGGCTTATGTAGGCGACGTTCTGGGTTCGAATCTTTACATGGGTACAGACCCGTGAAGATCCGGGGTAGAATAGGCCTTCAGCAACCCATGCTTGCCGTAAAAGGCGACTACGCTTGTGGTAAGAAGCGACTAACGGGATCGGGTGGTCAGGCTCGCTGACTTGGTTGATGCATGTCACCGTGTCCCAATTGCGTGGATCGATGGTCATGATGTCAATCACTGGATTGTCTGGTCCAGACTTGATTATTTACAGACCGCCGTCATGTAGCTGGAATATTGCTAAGTGCGGCGTTAAACAACAAACAAACATGGGTACAATATGGTAAACTAATTCTTGTTGTCTCCTGCTGTGGTAAGGCTGGAATATCTCTTGGTGCCAACTTACCATACAACATAACTTATCATATAACAATATTGATTGCAGGGGTTCAGTTACAGACTGTGACGAAACTGGAAGCTGACACAAGCCGGCATCTGGCTGAAATGTCTACAGATTTGGCCAAAGAACAACGAAGACACGTCAACATGACGCAAACAGTCCAACAGCTGACGCGTGACGTCAGCACACTTACAACAATAAATATCAACTTTACAGCTATAGTCAACAAATCTAAAACACTGGAATCTAAATATGAAGGTAGGGAGCTTTACTCATACCCCACTGCTGTGTTAACGTCGTGTGAGTGAGTGATTAAGTGAATATTTTACATCACATCCGCAATATTTCAGCAATATCATGACGACAGGTCATCGTTGTGTGATGGTGCGGTGGTAGCCCAGTGGTTGACGTGTTAGTTCACGCCGACGAGTCCTTGCATAGGAAAATATATATCTTACCATTCTTAATGTCCATTGGAAATTTTGATAAAGGCGGCATAAATCTATACTCACTAACTAATATGGTATACAGAACATGCATTACTCTCCAAATAGAGTGAGTATGGTTTTACGCCGCTTTAGGAAATATTCCAGCAAGTTCTCGGTAGGAACACCAGAAATGGGTTTCAGACATTGTGCCAATGACGAACGCCGGTTTTCGGCGTGACGAGCGAACGCTTTAACCACCAGGCTTCCCAACCGCCCCTCTTTAAATAGATGTGACACAACCATGACTCCCGAAATGCAGTAAACTACAGGTATAACGAACTTGGTTCAACCAAAACACCAATGACTGTCGAAATACAATAAACTACGGAAATACCGAACTAGGTTCAACCCAGCACTTGGTTCAACCAAGATACCCCTAACTACATTAATATATGAATTGCAGTTGACTTGACTTGACTCAGTATTTATCTACTATCTGATAAAGTCTAACCGATAAGCCTAAAGCGTCATGTTTGTTTCAGATACCATTCAACAAAAGCGGCAGCTTGAGACTATCGTATTTAGTGCATGCGCTGCGTGTGGTGTCCTAGTGTTGGTGGTCATCACATTATCTGGGATTATTTGTGTTACACGCGCACAGATACATCGTTGTTCACAAAGCACTACATCCGGTCATCTCGGTATGTTTGTATATAAGTGGTAGATTATTTGAGAAAAATGAATATACGTCTAGCACGGTGTTACTTTCAAATGGCCCCCGTGTCTAGTGACCTATGCTGACCTAGATCGTTCGAGTGGACAGGCTCGGTGATTGGGTGTCGACGGCGTGAACGTTGCTCCTAATATCAATCACTGGCTTGTAAGTTCCAGAATCGATTATTGCCAGGCAGCTTTAATATTGCGAAGATATTTCAAACTGCAAACTGTCGGATAATAAACAAACAAAACAATGATGGTCGTGTGTTTCATCGGCCTAATCGCCACCCCCCTTGGTGTTCAGGGCCTTTTGAGGTGTTCATATATTCATAGTATTTACAAAACTTTCAGTTTACAATTCATAACAAGCACGTCATTTATTTACAGGATCACATGAAGATGAAGGTCACGATGACCTTCCTCTCCTAGGTACAGACTCCCAAAGGACACATCAGCATAAAACACAATGTCCGACCAAAGTTCCTTGCTTCACAATAAACGGCGATGTCACCGTTTCAAGACTGGAGGTTCAGTCCCCTAACATTGAAAGCGTCAGCAACAACACTCCACCGTCTGTACTTCAGAAGCGGGTTGATAACAAGGATTGCACTGTGGACATGAATGTTGCGTCGATTGGCGGAAGCTACACAGATGTTGTTGATAAGGGTAAACGAGAAAGAACTCCTTCAATTCTGAAAAATATACAACCAACTGACGAAGGTTTAGAAGGTATTAAACATTATACTCTTGAGAATAACGGTACTTTCTTCACTGATGTACCAGGGTGAGACGAATGGCGCGCGTGTGTCTGTGAGTGTGCAGGGGTTGGGGTGGGGGGTGGGGGGTGGGGGGGGTGGGGGGGGGGGGGGGCTGTGGGAGGAGGGGGGGGGGGGCGGCTGTGGGAGGAAGGTGTGGTAATATTTGTAAGGGGTGAATGAGGGTATCAGTTTGAACGCTAGGTGATTACGTGGATGTGAGTGTCTTTGTGTGTGTTGGTGTGAACGTGGATTTTGATGTGGATGTGGGTGTTGGTTTGAAAGACGTGTCAAGCTGATGTTCGATCTTTCAAGCTTCATGTATAATTTAACCTTGTTTATACTGTACGTTGTATCGTCAACTTTTAGGTTCCATGGACAAGTTGGTTTAACGTTAGTTGTTCTTGTGCTGATACATTACGCTGCTGCCTTTTATTCCGTAAACCAGGTTCTCAGAACTGCTGCACAATAAACGTTTACTTTTCGGTCTCTGATATAGACAAAGAATATGCTGCATGTATATTGCTATATTTGATGAGTAATAAAAAGTATATTTTTATGAGTGCATATGTCAAATAGTTCTCCATGATTCATATTCTTACAATTATTTCAATAAACTACATTATCATTTCTCGCCATCTTGTCTTTGATTGAAGTATAATCGACTGCAACCCAGAATTAACCAACACCAACATTGTTATTTCACACACAACACGGGCTACAAGTTTGACCTCAAAATGTTTCCCTGTTTAATTGAACAGGTGAGGTGAGCTCGAGGTGAGGTGAGGTGAGGTGAGGTGAGGTGAAATGGGGTTTAACGTCGCGTCCAAGATTATTACACTTATATAGCGACGTGCATGTACGTGTGTGTGTGTTTGTGTGGCTGCTTGTGCTGGTCCGGACTTATGCCGATTTATAGTGCTAGCTCACGGAGATACCATGCCGTTTCACATGAACAACCCACTCAGACACTGTATACTGACTCCAAGCCGACCAGTGCTTGTTTTAGCCCCTTAATGCCGAGCGTCAGACAGGGTAACAACAAGTACCATCTTTTAACGTCTTTTGGTATGACGCGGCCGGGCATCGGACCTCGGACCTTCCGCTCTCCGGGCGGACGCTCTACCACTAGACCACGGAGGCGGTCGTTAAATTGAACAAATGTAACGTCACACATCTTCATGGGAAGATCTTAAATGGGCGAAGCAAGGCAAAATGATTTTTTTATGTAAGATGATGGCCAAAGAATTAGTCCCCTGATATTTAGTCATCAGCTCGCCACTACCTCGGGAAACAATATCCAGATAATCATGTCCACACTGGCGTCATCTCTTCAAACAATGGGCAACTGTGGGTTCAGTCGTCCTAGGTGTGACAGAAACCTACGATGGTGGGTTTGAATCTCAGATATTCAATGCTTATATTTCCAGGTTTGTCAGCATCATATTCGTGCTTAAGAACTGAATCATACGGGCTTTCCCCCCAAATCAAGCTGTCACGCCGTGATATAACTAAAATGTAACTGTTTAATACACATAACATTGTTCTACATACACCTCTTAATAAACAAATGCTATAAGACACTGCTGATCTGGCTATTTTTAAGTGATAATATCGTTATAATACATTCCCACCGTTTCAGGGTTTATTTTATGATAATATCGTTTTGCTTTAGGGGTAGTCTTAGCGGGTGTTATATGAAAACAACCGTTTGTATCTCTTAATGTCATCTCAACAATAACACAGCCTTCGTTTGCTGGAACCAATTTTTGTGCTCAAGGAGAGGGAACATATACATTGGTATTGGACAGATACCACTGCATTAGTGTGAGTGAGTTGGGTTTAACGCCGCTTTTAAGAGTATTCCAGTCATATCACGGCGTGTCAGCTTAATGTGGGAGGAAAGCCAGAAGTGATGCAGGTCTCAGACGTTTACCACTTCGGTGAAACCCACGAGCACGGGTATGGTGCTGACAAACCTAGAAACATAATCGGGGCGTACCGGGATTCGAACCCACAATCATATAACACTGCATTTAAGTAGGACATGTGCAAGTATTACTAGATCCTGGATTTAGTCATGTGTACTGTTTTACGCCTGTCCTGTAGAATGCCACCTCTACATATGGACGCCATCACACACATACCGTAGTGTACAGACATCAGTGAGTGAGTATTGTTTTACTCCTGAATGCCACCTCTACATATGGACGCCATCACACACATACCGTAGTGTACAGACATCAGTGAGTGAGTATTGTTTTACTCCTGAATGCCACCTCTACATGTGGACGCCATCACACACATACCGTAGTGTACAGACATCAGTGAGTGAGTATTGTTTTACTCCTGAATGCCACCTCTACATATGGACGCCATCACACACATACCGTAGTGTACAGACATCAGTGAGTGAGTATTGTTTTACTCCTGAATGCCACCTCTACATATGGACGCCATCACACACATACCGTAGTGTACAGACATCAATGAGTGAGTATTGTTTTACGCCTGAATGCCACCTCTACATATTGACGCCATCACACACATACCGTAGTGTACAGACATCAGTGAGTGAGTATTGTTTTACTCCTGAATGCCACCTCTACATATGGACGCCATCACACACATACCGTAGTGTACAGACATCAGTCAGTGAGTATTGTTTTACTCCTGAATGCCACCTCTACATATGGACGCCATCACACACATACCGTAGTGTACAGACATCAGTGAGTGAGTATTGTTTTACTCCTGAATTGCACCTCTACATATGGACGCCATCACACACATACCGTAGTGTACAGACATCAGTGAGTGAGTATTGTTTTACTCCTGAATTGCACCTCTACATATGGACGCCATCACACACATACCGTAGTGTACAGACATCAGTGAGTGAGTATTGTTTTACTCCTGTCCTGTAGAATGCCACCTCTACATATGGACGCCATCACACACATACCGTAGTGTACAGACATCAGTGAGTGAGTATTGTTTTGCTCCTGTCCTGTAGAATGCCACCTCTACATATGGACGCCATCACACACATACCGTAGTGTACAGACATCAGTGAGTGAGTATTGTTTTACTCCTGTCCTGTAGAATGCCACCTCTACATATGGACGCCATCACACACATACCGTAGTGTACAGACATCAGTGAGTGAGTATTGTTTTACTCCTGAATTGCACCTCTACATATGGACGCCATCACACACACACCGTAGTGTACAGACATCAGTGAGTGAGTATTGTTTTACTCCTGAATGCCACCTCTACATATGGACGCCATCACACACATACCGTAGTGTACAGACATCAGTAAGTGAGTATTGTTTTACTCCTGAATGCCACCTCTACATGTGGACGCCGCCACACACATACCGTAGTGTACAGACATCAGTGAGTGAGTATTGTTTTACTCCTGAATGCCACCTCTACATATGGACGCCATCACACACATACCGTAGTGTACAGACATCAGTAAGTGAGTATTGTTTTACTCCTGAATTGCACCTCTACATATGGACGCCATCACACACACACCGTAGTGTCCAGACATCAGTAAGTGAGTATTGTTTTACTCCTGAATTGCACCTCTACATATGGACGCCATCACACACACACCGTAGTGTACAGACATCAGTGAGTGAGTATTGTTTTACTCCTGAATGCCACCTCTACATATGGACGCCATCACACACATACCGTAGTGTACAGACATCAGTGAGTGAGTATTGTTTTACTCCTGAATGCCACCTCTACATATGGACGCCATCACACACACACCGTAGTGTACAGACATCAGTAAGTGAGTATTGTTTTACTCCTGAATTGCACCTCTACATATGGACGCCATCACACACACACCGTAGTGTACAGACATCAGTGAGTGAGTATTGTTTTACTCCTGAATGCCACCTCTACATATGGACGCCATCACACACATACCGTAGTGTACAGACATCAGTGAGTGAGTATTGTTTTACTCCTGAATGCCACCTCTACATATGGACGCCATCACACACACACCGAGTGTACAGACATCAGTGAGTGAGTATTGTTTTACTCCTGAATGCCACCTCTACATATGGACGCCATCACACACATACCGCAGTGTACAGACATCAGTGAGTGAGTATTGTTTTACTCCTGAATGCCACCTCTACATATGGACGCCATCACACACACACCGAGTGTACAGACATCAGTGAGTGAGTATTGTTTTACTCCTGAATGCCACCTCTACATATGGACGCCATCACACACATACCGCAGTGTACAGACATCAGTGAGTGAGTATTGTTTTACTCCTGAATGCCACCTCTACATGTGGACGCCATCACACACATACCGTAGTGTACAGACATCAGTGAGTGAGTATTGTTTTACGCCTGAATGCCACCTCTACATATGGACGCCATCACATACATACCGTAGTGTACAGACATCAGTGAGTGAGTATTGTTTTACTCCTGAATGCCACCTCTACATATGGACGCCATCACACACATACCGAGTGTACAGACATCAGTGAGTGAGTATTGTTTTACTCCTGAATGCCACCTCTACATATGGACGCCATCACACACATACCGTAGTGTACAGACATCAGTGAGTGAGTATTGTTTTACTCCTGAATTGCACCTCTACATATGGACGCCATCACACACACACCGTAGTGTACAGACATCAGTGAGTGAGTATTGTTTTACGCCTGAATGCCACCTCTACATATGGACGCCATCACACACATACCGTAGTGTACAGACATCAGTGAGTGAGTATTGTTTTACTCCTGAATGCCACCTCTACATATGGACGCCGCCACACACATACCGTAGTGTACAGACATCAGTAAGTGAGTATTGTTTTACTCCTGAATTGCACCTCTACATATGGACGCCATAACACACACACCGTAGTGTACAGACATCAGTGAGTGAGTATTGTTTTACTCCTGAATGCCACCTCTACATATGGACGCCATCACACACATACCGTAGTGTACAGACATCAGTGAGTGAGTATTGTTTTACGCCTGAATGCCACCTCTACATATGGACG